TGGACCAGCTGGAAGACTGGCTGCCTAGCTAGCATGCATGAAAACCAGGACTCTGTTCATATAGCTTTCATGCCAGTGGTTGACACCTGGAATGAAAAATATTCACAATGGGTGTGCAAGGTGGCTAAAGCCTTTATGAGTCAAAGTCAGGGTCATGCAAGAGCAGATAGAGCCACAGGAAGTCTGGCTACGTGGACAGCTTCGAGTGACTTGGGATTTGAACTCCAGTCCCCACAGTACAGCTTGTAATCATGACAGCTCCAGGCAAGAGTATGTAGCTAGCTCTGCATGTCAATATGGTAAAGGGCTGAAACTTGTAAAGGAGCCTGCCACCAAGCATGAGAACTAGAGATGCATCACAGAAACTAACATGGTGGGGACTCCCTATGACACTGGGGAGTAAGGATGGGTCCTAAGGTAGGAAAACACAAAGGTAAATATGTGGCAAGATATTGTGGCACCCTTATAGATAGTAGTTAGAACAGCCTGGGGAATTTAGTGGGATTTTAGAACATTCCCCCCACAAAAAAGCTGCAAAACACTTGGCCTAGTAGCATATGCCTTAATCCCAGAGAAAAGATAACTGCTCTGCACAAATTCCCTTTCTCAAAAAGTGCCTCATTACCTAGAGTTAAAACTCAGTCTGCTAAAACAGCATGTCAAAAGTGGATTAGAGTGTATCTCAGTTTTATTAAGGGCCTTGATTCATTAGGTACCACCTCCCATTCTTCCTCTGCAGAAACATCTTAAATCATAAACCCCAGAGAATTCACTGTTTAGTGTCATGATTTACAGACCTAAAGGTGAACACCTCTCGACACCTACTGTTCTGGCAAGCTCTGCCTACATCCTTACAGGGCTACAAATCAAAATGGCCCTTCCGGTGAGAAACTAGATGCAGGGGTATAAAGTTAGCTCCTCCTTTGAGGAATGAGGAATCCACTAACATGGTAGCCTCTGGGAAAACTGGACACTAACATGGTAGCCTCCAGGAAAACTGGAGGGTGGAGTCCGGAGCTTCCCTGACTGAAATTGACATGAATGGAAGGTCAGCCCAGGACCACATGGAACTGCATAGTATTAAAGCTTAGTACCTGCTAATGGAAGCTGTCAGTCTGCAATTAGACAAACTCAAGTCACCCAGGGCTAGTCAGCAAGGCCTGCCTCCAACCAGATGCCTGACATGACCTAGCAGGCTATGCGTGCAGCATTATGGCTGGAGTCCCATCCCTAGAAAGCACATGGAAGCAACCTTCTAAGTCATTCCCAACCCTGACACATACTGTTAACATAAAACTGAAGATGAAAGTGCCAAGAGAACAAGACTTTATTGATCTTTAATGG